GGATGAGTTTATATCTTTAAAAATGTCAATATTTGAGAAATGACCTTGTATCTTGTCAACTACTGATATTTTTAAAGATAAAGACTCACCCTGATGTTACACTCATCGAGACCTTTCATTTGAGTACCCACATCAATTTTTCATATATTTTATATATTTATGTATATATATATATGAAAAATATATCAAAAATGCATGTGGGTACTCAAATGAATGCTCTTGATGAGCGTGACCTCAAGATGAGCTTATATCTTCAAAATATATATTATATATATGTATAATGTGAAAAATACATCAAAAATGCATGTGGGTACTCAAATGAAAGCTCTTGATGAGAGTAACATCAGTATGAGCTTACATTTTTAAAAATGTCAATATTTAAGAAAATATTATCTATATTTTTACCTTTGAAATTTTTTATTAATTCAAAACAATATATTTATTATAAAGTGATACCCACTTTGTTTAAAATTTTCATTACTCAGATCCAATACAAAGTTTATAATTCAAAGTTCGGATAGTTACGATTAGATATATTAAGCTCGTCTAATGCATTGTAAGCTCTTTAAGCTTAAGTCGGTGTAAGCTCCTTAAGCTAACACAAGTTTAATGTGAATTTATTATTTTTACAATCAATATCAGACACTCTAAATTTTATTATCATGAAAAATTTTTTTACGAGACTAAATTTAAATTTTCTCTCTTCGGCTTTCACTTTTTATGCATTAAATCCATATTTCTCTCGCGTGAAAAGTAGGTTAATTTTTCATGGCATTAAAGCTACATTTTAATTATTTAAAAATTTTTAGTAATAAAGTTTATTCGTTTGTCGCAGCTGCTTAAGATGAGAGGTTACAAAATTAAAATTAAAATTTTTTTTACTGTAAAAAAAAATTAATTTTGCTGAATTTATTTCTGATAATTTATAAAATTTTTCAAATAAAAAATAAATTAGTAATTTAATTAAATCCAAAATAAATAATAGTATATCTAAATTGAACGAGATCGATTTGTCCTAATTAGGATCATCCGCTCCCCACCCGAACAAATTCTTTGTTCTTATCAATTATTATTAATAGGATAACAAGATTAATCTGATATCTGTTTCTAGTTTTAAATTAATTATTTATTTTTTATTAAATATTTGTTTTAGGAAAGCGACCGCAGCAGCACTGGAAGTCCCGAACCAGCATCCGGAGTCCTTCATGAGCACCACATGCTCATGGAGGGGCTCAAAAACTCTCGGAAGAGGCGACGTAGCACCTCCCCCGAGAATATGACCCATTCCAAGTTTCCAAGATCGGACTCGCATTTAAATGGAACTAGTAAGTTATATTATTTTTTTAAAAAATATAAACTAGTGTTTTTACCTTGAATTATTTAAATAGTGGCAGGTATGGTGACGCTCCAAAACTTGCAAAACCTTGCAAACTTGCAGCAAAACCTCCCGCAAGTGACATCTTTAGCAGCAGGTCTCCAGGCTGGAATGTCCAGCGGACTATCAACCAATCAAATGATCAACACGCCGCTGAATTTAACAGTCAGCGCTTCGGGTAAGTATCCTAAAAGAATTCCAAATAATTTTTGATGAATATTTAATAAAAATAATTTGTAAATTGTTAAAGGAGGAACAGCACCCACTCCATCAAGCACGACGTCATCACCCCATCTCTTGCCCTCAAGCTCAGCCCCGATGGCCACGCTACCCCAATTACTGTCGCAGCATCAGCCAGTGTCAATGCCTCAATTTATTTTAACCTCAGGTCAACTGGTCCAGGGGATACAGGGTGCTCAGCTATTCATTCCGACCTCCCAAGGCAAGCACGATCCTTATTTTCAGATCACCTTAACCCAAATAATTATGTTACATTGTATCGCATCTATTTGGACTCCTCTAATCGAGGCATAACTCGATTCTTCCTCAAAGTTACCGGTTCCATTTGTCCATTAGCTTTCAAAACTTGTTTACAAGACAATTGAATCGAGAGGTATGAGAAATAACGGGACGCGACGGCGAGCTGTCCAATCTTAATTGGATAACCAAGTTCTATGTCAATATTTGAAAGGAAGTTTTTGCAGAATCTTAGATCGAGTTAGATTTTAGATTCAAGAGCGATTGTTAGAATTGTTTTATCAAGGATGAAAAATCATGTAGTCATGCAAAAAAAAATTTTTTGAGTGTTTTTTAAGAGAAAAATGATAAAATTATCGAATTTTGGTTGTTCAAAATTGGATGATAGCCGCCATTTGCAAAATTATTTATCGATTTAATTGAAATTGATACTAAGTCACTAAAATAGCTTCCAAAATAAGTGTCTTCAGTTTCATTAAGTTTCCTTCAAAATTAATAAAGTTTTCACTCATTTATTAAAAAAATTTATCTAAAAAATGAAGAGCCAGTTTTTATATAAAAGATTAAGGCTCCAAATATTGAATATTTTAGACAAAATTAACATAAATACATTACTTATAGTAGTTTCTTGTGAGAAAACGATGTAATTGTTGAATTTTGGTGATTCAAAAATGGTTAATAGGCGCCATTCGTAAAGTTAATTGCCGATTTAGTTAAAATTGAAACCTAAGCACTAGAATTGCACTAAAAATAAGCCTCTTCAGTTTCATTAAGTTTTTTTCAAAATTAACGAAGTTACTGCACATTTATTAAACAAAATTATCTAAAAAATGAATAGTCATAATTCAAATAAAATTACCATAAATACATTTTTTGTTGTAATTAGTTTCTTAAGAGAAAGAAATTATCAAATTTTGGTGATTCAAAAATGCATAATAGCCGCCATTTGTAAAGTTATCTACCGATTTAATTAAAATTGAAACCTAATCACTAAAATAGCTTCAAAAATAAGCTTCTTCAGTTTCATTAAGTTTCCTTCAAAATTACCAAAGTTATAGCAGGTTAATTAAAAAAACCTGAATTTTTTCAGCATATTCATTTTAGGATTTTTCCTTTCTATATTTTTACAATTAATTCTTTAATTTTTGCACAATTATTTCAAAGAATTTTCTTTAGAAAATTCCAAAATTTCCTTTGACACATTTACAAGGATAATATTGAATAAAAATTATAAAATTCTGAATAAATAATTAAAAACTAAAATCCAACCGATAGATATCCTGAGAAACTGTCAGATTCGCTTAGCCAAGCTATTAAGTATATCCACATAGGCAGTGAAGATCAGTAATCATATTAAGCTTATGTATAAGATAATCTGATTAGGGACCGGGAGGTAATCTCGAAACTATTCTAAGTATGATTAGCCAGCTCAGAGTCCTTCTCAGCGGCAGTTCAAGTCCGGTAGCTCTCACTAGTTTCTATTATATCTCGGGAATATTATATATAATAATATAGCTGGCGAGACTTAGTGCACCAGCATGTACTATTCCTCCCCGGTTTAGACACCCTTTAAAGATGGTGATAATAGTTTCGGAACTATATATAAACCAGCCGTCCAAGTAACCTGCCCTATGGGTTGCTTAATAATCCCTCTATGAGACTTCGGTAACTTTAAGAGCGATCCGGATGAGGAGTCAACGATACACCCCCTGATTGTCAATTTTTGCTTGATGGATCTTCTAACGACTAATTTTTTTTTTTTTTTTTTTTTTTTTTTTTTTTTTCTATAGGGCTCGTCACGCAGACGATATTGACCATTCCTGTTAACCACGTGACGAATAATCAGATGGTTAATTTGGCTCTGAGCAATGGCCAAGTTGTCTCTACTACCCTTGCTAATCTTCAATCAATAGCCCAACCGCAGAACCTCATGAACACCCCAGCAAGTAATGGTAAGGTTTTTCTTTTTTTTTATTAATTATAATTCTATTGGTAATAATTATTACCAATAAAATAAAGGAAATAACAATTGTTCTTCTGGATTTAAAACAGTGCCAACGAGTCAAAGCATGGCATCGGGATTGGGTCTGAATCCGGCGTCACTGCCGCACTTGCTGGGCAATAATTCAGCAAGTCAACAGTTACTGAATGCGATGCAACCGCAACAGCTTCTTCAAGCAGCACAAGCGGCTCAAGCCCAAGCTCAAGCTGCCCAGGCAGCCCAAGCTGCTCAAGCATCGCAACAACCTCTGCTTGCTACGTCGCCGCAACACCAGCACACCCATCGGCATACCTCGCACCTCAACCACTACCAGGTATACCAAATATTCTACAGCCATTTAAATTCCACCCCATTTCCTTAACAATTCTCCGTTCTCCATTCTTGAATATCATGTTACCCAGAGTAAGTCACGCTAACCGTGAATCTTTGATATCCTCAGCAGCAACCCTCTGATAAACATCATCGGGAGAGGCTGGAGCAGTCGTCGCCCTTGAATAATCCAGCGGTTTCGGCAGCTTCCGCGCTTAATAGACTGGCTGCTACTAATGGGGAAATTACTATTACTACCACCCATGGCCCAGGTAATCCTGGGATGAAATTATCACCTGGAAGCAGGCTTAGTCCTAAGGAAGATGATGATGATTTGCTCAGTGATTCTCCAAGTGAGTTTTTTTATTAAATAATATTAAAAAAAATTATTAGTTTGTTACTTATATTTTTAAAATTAACTCTCTAGTAGCGAGAAAATTTAATGACCATGCGCCACCTGTCGGAAATTTTTGGAACTAATTTTTATAAAAATTTATTTATGGGCTTATCTAGCTATTTGATGAAATTTAGTTACCGAAAGTAAATAAATGAATGAGAAAAATCGATTAAAAAAATTTTTCTTTAGCAATTAGTAAAATATAAACTTTTAATAATAAATTAGGACTGAATTAGAATGAACAGGCTTGTTAAAATAGTAAAAAAAAAATTTTAAGTTCTTTACTTATATTTAAAAAATTAACTCTCTAGTAGCGAGAAAATTTAACGACCATGCGCCACCTGTTGGAATTTTTTTGAACTAATTTTTATAAAAAAATTATTTATCGACTTATCGAGCTATTTGATGAAATTTATACACCGGGAGAAAATCAATTAATGACATTAACATCTTATTAAAATAGAAAAATAAATTTTTATATAACGGACATTCCATAGTGACTGGTGAGACATTTAACTCTGGAATTCCATCAATTATATATAATATTGTGACTCCTAAATAATTATATTGGTTCCGCGGAGTAAAGAGAATTTTTTAAAGATAATTTTGTGATCTAAAAGATAAAATTAAATTTTATTATTATCATTATGATCATTAAAAAACAACCTGTCAATGTTGATAAATTCGAATCACCATAATAAGGTTTAGAAACATTCTAAAGACAAACCTCGTAACTCAAGGCGTTGTTTATAGCTCTCCAGAAACGCATAGCATTTGCAATATAATAAATAAGTCACATGTGTACTAAAACTCACTATTATCTATATATATATTTAAAATCGTGTGTTCATTCTGTTAAAGTTGATAGATTTACGACAGAAATCTTCTATATCGCAATCTTTATTAGAATAAAATAAATATATATTTTTATTTCTTCACTAAACCTAGCCAATAATAGGAAAAAACATTAATCTATACCTTAAGGGGGCGGAAATTGATTAATAATTTTTTTTAGAAGGATAAAATTGATAATTTTTATGAAAAAATTAATTATTTTAAAAATAATAACAATATTTGTATTAAAATATTTTTTTTTAACCAAAATTGCTCTCAAAATTAATGTTAATAATTTTTTGAACAATTTTAAATTAATTAAAAAATTGTAATTAATTTAAAAAAAATTTAGAATTAGAAAAATTATAAAAATTAATTATTTAAAAAATAATATCAATATTAGTGATAAAATATTTATTTTAACCAAAATTAATGTTAATAATTTTTAAAACAATTTTAAATTAATTAAAAAATTATAATTAATTTACAAAAAATTTAGAATTATAAAAATTAATTATTTAAAAAATAATATCAATAATAAAATATTTATTTTAACCAAAATTAATGTTAATAATTTTTAAAACAATTTTAAATTAATTCAAAATTTTTAATTAATTTAAAAAAAAATTATTAAACCTCTCCTAAAGACATATTTTTAATAAAACCCCGAATTTGATTAACTAGATCAACCGACAATCAATGAAGCTACGAATAACGTTGTGGATGGAATCAATTTAGACGAGATTAAGGAGTTTGCAAAGGCATTTAAACTTCGCCGATTGTCTCTGGGATTGACGCAAACTCAAGTTGGACAAGCGCTGAGCATAACCGAAGGACCCGCGTACAGCCAGAGCGCAATATGCAGGTGAGCGTTTGCCTTTAATAAAATAATTCCACAATTTAACTGTTAATTTATCAATTAATTATTATCATTTTTATTTATTTGAGAGATTAAAATAGTTTTCTGCCAGGCCACTGGAAATGGCATTTAAATATTAGATATTTATACTTCTGTCCATTATTTATCGAGTCGTTTTTTAACCGATAGGATTATTTATTATTCGCCTAGATCTCTATAAAAATAATATATTTATAAAGACAGAAATATATAGAAGCCCAAGGTTCGATTTCAATTAATTTTACTGAGTTACTGAGACTATTATTATTATTATTATTATTATTATTATTTAAAATAATAATTGGATGACAAAGTAAATAGAGTTTATTATGAAGAACACAACAGTTGGAATCAAACCTTGTGTTGCTCTGACAATATATATGAGCACCAACAACAAACAACTTAGATTATTATCGTTTGGACTAACTTAAGCATTGGTGATTGTTCCCCAGTGCCCTGGCTACCCAGATGTACGCTGCCTCGCAGATTGCCTCTCAGCAGCAAGCTATGTACGTTCACCCCTTATTCATGCTACTTTATTTAACCTAACTATATACAGTACAATTCTTACAAATTTTAAATTTTAAATCTTAGCAGCTACACCCACTTTTTTTTTTTGAAGATAATTGTGCATGATTTTAAGTTAAGGAGGGTGGGTTTAGCTGCAGGATACTCTGTACGCTTTCGAGAGATTTTTTAAGGAGCACTCAAACGACTTAGGCTCTACTACCTCTGTATTTTTATGTTTCATTGCTGTTTTGTCTTTTACATTGTTTATATGTATCATTTTATATATATTTTATATTTATATACCTGCGATGTATATGTGTGTATTAGGGTGGCTTAAAAAGGGTTTTTTTTAAATAATTAATTCATTTTTTTTTATTTAATATATAAAGCGATTTTTTTAAGAAAATTTTTGAAGCTAATTTTAAGAGAAATTTTATTTTTATTAGAAATTTTAAAGAAGTTTTTTTTTGCTAAAATTGAGGATTAAAAAATAATTTTTAAAATATCAATTTTTAATTAAAAATGACAATTTTTTAATTAAAGATTGTTCTAAAAAATGTCAATTTTTTTATAAAAAAAAAAAATTTTTATTGTCAATTTTTAATAAAAATATCAATTTTTTAATTAAAAATTTTTCTGAAAAATGTCAATTTTATTTAAAAAAAATTAATATTTTAAAAAAATGATTTTTATTGTCAATTTTTAATAAAAATTTCAATTTTTTAGAAAAATGGCAATTTTTCAATTAAAAATTTTTTTAAAATGTCAATTTTATTAAAAAAAATAGTTTTTATTGTCAATTTTTAATTAAAGTATTAATTTTTTATATAAATTTCAATTTTTCAATTAAAAATTTTTTCTCAAAAATGTCAATTTTATTGAAAAAAAAATTAATATTTAAAAAAAAAATGGTTTTTATTGTCAATTTTTTATAAAAATTTAAATTTTTCATTAAAAAAAAAAAATTGACATTAAAAATAATTATTAACTAATTTACTTTCTCTAAATTTTAATAAAAAAATAAATAAATTAGCCACCCTAATATACATATATAATTATATAAGTATAATAATTAACTATGTATTTAATATTATTATATCTTGGAGCCAGGGCATTGGCAAGCTTGGGCATGGTGTCGCCAACACGCGATAAATTTATAAATTAATAAATTCGTAAAAATTAACGTCCATCGGTTATTTCAGATGCTCTCAACAATAGTTGTTGTTGTAATTATTATTACTATCAATATTAATATTAATATTAGTATCAATATTAATGTTAATAATATAACTGCCTCTAGTACTTTAATTTTTAATAATTGATAACTATTGTTGTTACTGTAATTACAACTGTAACTAGTCCAATTCGTAAAGAGGGATATATATCAACCCGTTGGCAACATCATACGCGGCATCACCAAACCCACACGCATGCACGCATTGTCAATGTCCTGTTTTTTATTATAAATATATATTATTAAATTACACATTAATTACGCATGACTCTTTACACCTTAGTTTTAGTGCTCCTTTATTAGTTTTGCCTTTTAATTTTTTTTTTACAATTAAATAAAAAAAAAATTTAATTTTTCAATTGACAAAAATAAATTTAAAAATGTCGATTGTTAAATTTATTAACTTCAAAGATAATTAATATTTTTTTGGGCTCTAGGTTCGAGAAATTGGACATCACGCCGAAGAGTGCGCAGAAAATTAAGCCAGTGCTCGCGAGGTGGATGAAAGAAGCTGAAGAGAGGTGAGTTTTATCTAATTTATCCACTAAATATTTTTCTATTTAATTTTTTTATTTATCTAAAGTCAAGATTAGAACCGCTTATTACGCGACGCCGCGTTACTGACCACGTGCGTGCTAATTGGTAATCCGCTAATTGAATTTACCTGATTAATTGCGTATTCTAATGAACGGAATGTTAATTAGAGGTTAAATGTTATTTTCTTCCTGGTAATTATCGATTGTTTAAAATTTTTTTAATTTGACAAAATTTTAATAAGTTTTTCTAGATATATAATTAAAAAATCACCTTGTATCTTAAGAAATATTGACATTTTTAAAGATATAAGCTTATCCTGACATTAAACTCATCAAGACCTTTCATTTGAGTACCCACATCAATTTTTCATATATTTTATATATTTATATATATGTATATATGAAAAATATATGAAAATGCATGTAGGTTATATATATATATATATATATATATATATATATATATATATATATTTATATATTATATATGTATGTATGAAAAATATATCAAAATGAATTTTATTCTTTTTATCTTTGAGTGTTATTATTGAAAAATAATAATTGAAATTTAATATTTAAATTATTTTTCTTAAGAACAATCACAAAAAAAAATTTATTAAAATTTTTAAATTTGTTAAAAAGAATTTTGATTTTTTTTAATCATAAAAAATCAAAATTTTAAAATTTTTACAGATATATTTGACATTTTTAAAGAAATAAGCTCACCCCAACATTAAACTTATCGAGACCTTTCATTTGAGTACCTACATCAATTTTTCATATATTTCATACATTTATATATATGTATATATAAAAAATATATCAAAAATTCATGTGGGTACTTAAATGAAAGCTCTCGATAAGTGTAAGAGCAAAATGAGCTTATATCTTCGAAATAGTTAATATTTAAGAAAGTACAGTGCAATTTAACAAAAGTCGGTAAATTAAAAATATTAATGATTGTTATAATTCAAAATTTTTCAAATTTTTATTTAATAAAAAATCCCAAAAATTTCCCCTCAATCCTTAAAAAAAAATCAGCAACCCATCTCTTACTCATTCTCCTAAACCAACTAAAAGCATAATAATGCCCCGTCGTCACCACTCAGTACTATTTACCTCCATACAATAAAAATACACTTACTCTTTTTACCAACATACCTTTTCTCGAAAGAGTATACGGAAAAATGAAAGCTAGTTTATGCGGTGCACGTGCACGATTTATCGGGTTAGTAATTAAACTGTGGACTAATTAAAATCAGGTTTTCTGATGTACTCCCCCTCTTTCCCCTTCTCTCTCCCCCTACACCTTAACTTACTCTTTAATTATTTTCTTTGTCTTTTCTTCCGCCCGCATGTAAAGCTTTTTTTCTCTCCACTTATTATTGTTCTAAATTCTCAATAAACTTTATATAAAATTAATATTCTTCGGCATACTCTTCGGTCCATAAATTCTCCAGTAATTATTCTCGCGGTCAATTGATGGTACACTTGAATAATAATAACCCGATTGAGAAAACGGACAATATTAATTCCGAAGCTCAAAAACTCAATTAGCATATTGTTTAAATGCGCGATAAAATATCAATTTTTATTATTATTTTTTTTTTATGTTTTTCCGGGCTTTGTTTTTTTATTTCCACTGCCTTTCGATGCTTTGGTCATTCGACGTTAAATTAAAAACATAAATTTATCTCAATGTCCAAACTGTGCGTGTATATAGATATAGGTTTATTCTAACGAAAAGTTTGAGCTGTTGCCAGTTGTTTTTCGTTTCATTTATTTTATTTGTTTTTAGGACTCTTTTTCATTAATTTTATTTGTAATTTTTTACACTAGAATAAATATTTTAAATGAAGATTAAATTGTTTTTTTTTTTTTTTTTTTTTGTTATGATTGATAAATTATTTTAACAATTGGGATAAATAGTTGCCAGAATTTTAGTGAGAGTAGTGTTTATGATTATAGGTATAAAAGCGGTGCCAATAATCTTACGGAATTTATTGGAGTGGAGCCAAGCAAAAAACGAAAACGACGGACATCGTTTACTCCTCAGGCTTTGGAACTTCTCAATGCACACTTTGATAAAAATACACATCCTACTGGTGAGTATTTAAAAAAATTTTTTATTTTTATTTTTAACTTTGTTACACCTAAAAAACAAGATGATACTGAATATCATCTCAGATTATACTCAGTGATATCTGAGGTATAAAATTTCAAATAGTAGCTAAAAACAATCCAGATTATACTGAGTTATATCTGGATTATACTCATTATAATCTGGATTATACTCATTGTAATCTGGATTACACTAGCTACTATCTGAAAATTTTTTGAACAATTTTAAGGATAAAAAATTTTATTAACCAAAAAATATTTCACTCAAAATATTAAAAAAAAAAAAATATTTTTTTAATTTCAGGTAACGAAATAACAACCCTAGCGCAACAATTAGGCTACGAGAGAGAAGTAATAAGAATTTGGTTCTGCAACAAGCGGCAGGCCCTAAAGAATACCGTGAGGATGATGTCTAAATAAATAAATAACAACATAAATGACTATAAAGACTGCAAAAAAAATAATGAATAAATAACAATAATTACAATAAATCTTCTCCCGATCCGAAAACAATTTTAAAAAAATCTTTGACAACTAATGAAGATTAAATTATAAAAATGGTGAAAAAAATGCGTGGGACAATTGACAATTAATTGTTAATAAATAATTATAAAAAATCGGGACTCATCACGCCGAGGCTGTGGCATGTCAGATGTCAGCAATCTTAACGTTTTTTAGTTTCAACGTTTCGAACTTGACTTCTTTGCGTCTAAGTATTTGCCTATGCTGAACAAATAAATAATCATAATTACTATTAATTATAAATTATGACACAATTATTATTAAATTAAATATTGCATAATTATAATAATCATAAAATAAAAATCACAAACAACTGTATTGACTTTTGACAGTAATTGTGATTATGAAATGTATACGCGTGTATTTTATGTGTAAATAGTTAATGACTTACGACTTGTGATTCGTATGAGTAGAGCTAGAATTTAATTATGTTTACTATTAAATAATATTAAATTTAATGATGATGCAGATGACAAGTATTTATTGACAACTTGTTGCTTCGGTGATACCAAATGACGGATTGCGTTTTTATTTATTTTTTTAGTAGATAATAATTTTTTTTATAAGAAAAATTGAGTAATTAGTTTTTTTAGAAGGGAAAAATTGATGATTTTTATAGAAAAATTTATTTAAAAAATAATAACAATGCTAATAATATTTATTTTGACCAAAATTGCTGTCTATTTATGTTAATAACGTTTTGAACAATTTTTAATTAATAAAACATTTTTTTTTCATGGAAAAATTAATTGAGAGTTAGAAAAGTTATAAAACATGAATTTTTGGTTAATATTAAACTCAAAACTAAAAAAAAAAAAATTTTTAACAATTTTAAATCGCTAAAAATTTTATTTATTAGAAAAATTACATTTTTGGTAAATATTGATTTCAAAAATTGAAAAAAATTTTTTTAAACAATTTTCAATTAAAAAATTTTTTTTAATTCAAAATATTGTATTTTTGGTTGATATTAAACTCAAAATTTAATAAAAATATTTCTTTCAATATTTGAAACTATTTTAAATCAAAAAAAAAATTTTTTTAATGTTTTCAAACGATTTTGAACTAATACAAAAATTTTATTGATTTAAAAATTGCATTATCGGTTCATATTAAACTCAAAATTTGAAAAAAAATTTTTTTGATAATTTTTGAAACAATTTTAAATTAAAAAAAAACTTTTTTCAATTTTTTGAAATAATTTTGAATCAAAAATTTTGATTAATAAACAAAATCACATTTTTGGTTAAATATTTAACTCAAAATTTGAAAAAAAATATTTTGAAACAATTATTTATTAGAAAAAAATTTATTTTCAATTTTTTTGAACATTCTAAATTTAATTAATTAATTAAAATAACTAAATAATATTTGTTAGGCTTTAAATAATTTTAAAAATTAAAAAAAAAAACAAATCTCCAGGGTATTAGACTTTATTAGTTAATAAATGTAAAAAAATTAATGAGCGTTTATTGATAAAAATAATAATAAATGCAATGCGTCCGCTGGGTATCAATTTGACTCGACGTCCAGGCTCAAAGACTCTCTAGGATAATTACGCCAACATAAGAGTAAATATAATATAATATTAAATAAAAATAAAAAGATTAATAATATTAATATTAATAACACTTAAGTGTCGATTTAAATCTAAATCGTAAGGTATAAAGCGCAATAACTTCTGTGAAAGTATATATTACTATATTTAAAATGAACTTTTCATGCACTATTAATCATCTATAAATCTCGACTCAGCATATGAACTAAGGACGATGATATGTGAACAAATATAAATAAAATTACGAAGCTAGTCCAAAAGTAATATCTGCCATACGATTCAATTATTCATTAATTTTATCATTATTTTTACCTCTATTTTATTGTTATTGTCTAATTATCTAATTGTATTTTGAGAAAAAGTAGGTTTACTTTATTTTTATATTTTAGAATTAGTTTTCTTTTTTTAAATGTATTTTTTCGGGATTTTTTTGGTAGCTATTAAACATTCCAGTGTAATAATTTTAAAAAATTTGTTAATAAAATAATGAAAATTCAAAATTTCAATTTACTTTCTTAAATATTGACAATTTTTAAGATATAAGCTCATCCTGATGTTACATTCTTCAAGAGCTTTCATTTGAGTACCCACATGCATTTTTCATATATTTTTATTATATACATATACATAATATATATTTTTAAGATATAAGCTCATCTTGATGTTAGGCTCATTAAGAGCTTACATTTGAGTACCCACATGCATTTTTGATATATTTTTCATATATATACATATATATATATATATATATATATATATATATAATATATATATATATATATATAATATATATAGATATATAAATATATAAAAAATTGATGTGGGTATTCAAATAAAAGGTCTCGATGAGTGTAATGTCAAGGTGAGCTTATATCTTTAAAAATGTCAAATTATGTCTTAAAAAATGTAAAAATTTGAAATTTTGATTTTTTTATGATTAAAAAAAATTAAAATTCTTTTTAATAAATTTCTTTTGGATTATTCTTAAAAAAAAATGATTTAAATATTGAATCTTAATTATTATTTTTTAATATTAATGCTCAAAAATCATAAAATGCATTTTGATATATTTTTCATATATACATATATATAATATATATATATAAAATATATGAAAAATGGATGTGGGTACTCAAATGAAAGGTCTCGACGAGTGTAACATCAGGATGAGCTTATATCTCTAAAAATGTCAATATTTCCCAAGATACAAGCTCATTTCTTATCAAACTGGCTGAAAAAAAGTTACCAAATAAATTCTGATTATGGCGATAAAAATAATCCTTGTATATATTAAAAATAAAAACTAGGTATTGTAATAAAGTACCTTTAATATATAAATATAAATAATAAAAAAATATATTGGAGCTATTAAATAGCAGACATATGCAAAGAAAATTTACATGGTTGATAAAGTCATTGAGGACTTAATTAGTGTAACCTAAATAAAAATAAAAGCATGTATAATAAATATATAAATAAAGAAATTCAAAATTCAAAATTTGGATCTTTACCAGAGAGTTATTTTGGCTTTTTGATAAACAAAAAAATAAAACGTTTGTACAGAGATTTTCTGGTTATTAAATTAAATTTTGTTATGCGACTAAAATGTATGTAGATCATGTGTATTTTCTTCGTAAAAGAAATAACGTAGGCTCATTATAAGATAATGATATGAGTATTAAAAATTATAAATTCAACTCACGTATTTATGAGTGTCATACTTCTAGGAGAAATATTTAAAAAAACAAAACAAAATTATTATTATTATTAATTATTAAAATAATTAAAATGAGGCAAAAGTTTCGTAAATTTTCAGCAGAAATTGTAAGATTAATATTAATAATAATAATAATAATAATAATAATAATAATAATAATAATAATAATAAATAATACAATCGTCAATAATTCATCAAATCACTTACATACACATTGTACATAAATATATATTTAAATAGACTGTTACACAATATTATAAAATTAATTTAAAAATTGTAAATCCTCTCTTTACTATGTTATAGTTCCTGGTTCATTTTTTTATTTTATTTTATTACTTATACATAAATTAATATTATGAATAATATAAAGAGTAATTCATTAATTAATAGTTTTTATTATTATTATTATAAACCCTTATTAATTTTTCTTTAGAAAACAAGCAGACATTCCATCAATTATTTATAATTATGTGACTGAAATTTATACTAGAGTAAAATTTATCTTATAATATAGAAGAATAACTAATTAAAAAAGAAGTTTTTAGTTCTTTACTTATATGTTTAAAATCAAGTTTCTAGCAGCGAGAAAATTTAACGAGCATGCGCCACCTGTCGGAAATTTTTGGAACTAATTTTTATAAAAATTCATTTATGGGCTTATGGGAAATAATAAATATTTATTAAAAAAAAAATGTCTGCTTTTTTTTTATTTTTTATAAAGTATAAATTTTACTAGTTTAAGTAAAAATAAACATATATCTTGATATTAAAATGATTTTTGAGAAATTTGGAACACTTTATCTGAATACTTGATGAAAAAATACAATTTTAGCTAGTTCGATTCAGCCAAATATTAATATTCCCTAAAAAATGCATCAGCAAGAATCAAACGGTGATAATAATTTCATCAGGTGAATTATAAATTACTTTTCAATTGAGAAAATTATTGGGTATTATTTAACGGTATTTATAAAATTCCAATTTATTATTTATAGCGGTATAAAAGTTTTATTAAATCAAAGTAAGTTGGTTTTATTGGAACGAGATGAATTATTAATGGATCCCTTTTATTCACGATAATAATTTTTCTATTCTTGCGACTCTTGCGACTCTTGCGAGGTTTAAGTAAAAATTTCACTTGCATAATTTAAGCTTCGTATGAAACAACTTAGAATAATTCTTATTCAACGTACGTCTATTAATTGCTCTATTAATTACGCTATTAATACAGAAAATTTACAACTTGATTGTAATATTTAAAGAGCAGCTCGACGAGCATTATTAATTAAACTTTGCGATTGTTGATTAATAAAGTACGAACTTTACATTAATGATGCTCATTAATGATTTTATATAATTAAAAACGTTTAGATCAAGAATTTTAGAGTTGAAAGATGAATTTTTTTGTCAGCACCTTTTGAATAATTTTAAATTTTTATCACATTTATGAACACTAAGGTAAGTATACTCATTTTTTAAGGAATTATACTGCTTATTGATGATTAAGAGCATTCTAAAAAATTGTAAAAATATATAAAAAAAAAATTTATTCATGAACTAATTAAGGATAAACAGATAAAATTTCATGAAAAAACGTCAAAAAATTTCTTAATATCTTAAATTTCTTCAATCTGAATTTTATTTTCTAATTTTTCTTAATTTTTCCTTCAACCTATTTTTTTTTTTTTTTTATTAAATGTTGAAAATTTGTTTAATTTTAATCCTTAATTAGTAAAATTTGACGGCAAAATAATCCTTAATTTCTGACTTTCTTTCTTAATCTAAAATCCCTAAAATTTTTTTTTTATTCTTAAATTTTATTAATTAAATTAAAAAAAAAAATTTTCTCTACTTAAAATTAATTTTATTTAATTTCTAAATTTTTGATTCTCAAATTTTCTTCTTTAATCTCAAAAATTTTCTTAATTATCTCAGTAAAAAAAATTTCTTAATTATTTATCATTATTATTTTCCCTATTACCAACCAGCTCAAAATCAGTTTTAGGATCGACTAATCTAACTTTCGAAGATTTCCCCGAGAATTCAATCACTCCATAACCAACAACGCCCACTATCAAAATCCCAATGAGTACATACAACTTAGTACTGGTACACAAGTAAGAGCTGTAGGAATAAGCAACAACAGAGCCGGTGGCTTCCCACAGCCGGAAATTTGAGTAAGCTGCTTCTTCCATCCCAGGAAAGAGAATTCCGCTTAGAGCTTCAACAGAGCAAGAAGAAAATTACCAACAAGCCCGTCGATAACTTACCGATTTTCTGCTTTACCATCAGTCGGTACAAAGTCGATAAAATAATTATTATTTAGAAGTTACCATTAACTTGGACCAGCCAGATCGCATCACAGATTCCCCACAAACCCGACATGAGGAAAAACATCACCCCTTGCTCTGGCGTCGGCTTCCAATAAAGAAGAGCTACTATTATCAGCAAGTGGAGCAGAAATGCGAAGACAACTACTGGAATTCTTCCGGTTAATTTTACAATTGAGCCGGTCGCTAAAGCTGCAATTGCATTTGCTACTCCGTAGCAAATCATTACGTAGCCTATGTTGCTTATTCCGTAGGCACATGACACAAACGACTAATAAATTTTTAAAAAAATAATTATTTATAGAAAATTTCAAACAATTTTTATCTCTTGACAGAAAAAATTAATAATTTTTTTTTTTATTAAAAAAATTACTAAGAAAAATATTAAAAATTAAAAAAAAAAAAAAATAAGTTGTTTAATGTATAGATTTTTTTTTTAACTTACAGCATTGTAATCAGCGAATAAAAAAGCTTGTTCAGCGCCAATAAACATAGTGATAGGCAGGATAAGCAATTGCCGCTTTTCTTTGAGTAACTTAAGAGTCACTGCAAGTAATTTAAGCCCCGATTGTCCAGTAGCTGAGCCAGTTCTCCCTTTATCGTACCTGAAACATAAAACAATGGTTTAATTAATAATTTGGATTGTTTTTATGAACAGCTATTTTTATTTGTTCGGAACTCGGTGATAAGCAGCTCCGCGAATAGAGACTTGAGGTGATGACTAGGATTATTTATGAGCCTAATTAACATGCGCTTCGGCGGACGCTAATACTGATACTCATAAATTAGTGATGAATAATGCCGGATAATGATAATGATTGATTGTATTATTCTTAGAGATAAATTAGCTACTGTGTGTTGGGTTATATAATGACAATGCTAATTACTTTGGGATTAGCTTCCTTCTATGGTAATCAAGTTTTTTTCTTTATTAAAAATTATTACAAAATTATTAAAAAATAATAAGTGAAAAATATTATAATATAAAAAGGGTCCTTGTTGATTTGAGGGTTGAATTTATGATCGGTTTTTTAGAAGAGGATAATAAAATAAATTTTAAGATTTTACATCCAATTTAAAGTACTAACTTTGAGATTTAGGCTAAAATTTTATTTTTATTTAAATTATTAAAGATTTTAATTTATGAAAAAATTATATTTAAATTATTTTATAGAAAATTTTGTTACCTAAAAAGAATATTTCCATTAAATTAGGTGTTATCTTTATTTCTTTCTTCAAAATATAAATTTTAAATTAAGAAATCAAGATGAAGAAGTTATTTGGAGCCTTTATAAGTTTAAAGTGCTTTTTACAGAAATATTAATGAAGAACATGAAGGTATAAAAGAAGTATAATCAACTTTTTTTAAAGAAACTTAAATTTGTTATAAAAAAAATTTCTTATTCAATTTTTAATTCTTTATTTTAAATATAAAAAATCAAATTATTACCTCTTTAAAAAATTTCAACTTTTTAATTTATTATTATTATTATTATTATTATTATTATTAAAAATTTTTTCCTTAAATTACATCTAATTAATTGTATAAACAGTAAAAAAAAAAATATTTGAAAAAAAAAAAATTTGTCGCGATATTTTGTTTAATTCGCGGTTTTCCGCGGATTGATATTTTTAAGTGAAACTAAGCGTGTGAGTACTTATTTTAAAAAGAATTTTACAAGCTATAAGATAGTGTAATTTTTAATTGTGATTATTGTTATTTTTATTTTATTATTATTATAATTATTATTATTGTTGTTGTTTTAAAAATTGTTATCATTAATTACAACATCTAAAAAAAATTAAAATATTAAGAAAAATTATCATTAAACATAAAATTAAAAAATAATAAAATAATTAAAATTCCAATCAATATAATTACATTTAAAAATTAATTATAATTAATGACAGTGTTATCAATTCTGTGAATGACCCGTAATTAAAAAAATAAAATACCAAATATTTTTATTTAAACATTTTATCTACCTGTAATAAATAAAAGTAAACTTCCACGTAAATTAATTTACTGAAAATAAATAATTTATCTACACAATTACTCTAAAAATCAATAAACATACGTTTAATGCTCTTGTATTCATAATTCAGGCTATCAATAAATCTCAAAGCAGTAAATTGAAATTTATTAACAAAATTTATTCGAACGATTTAAATAAATCTAAAAATTTACTGGTTAGGTATTATTTTTTATCGAAAAGCTGCAAAAGACAAATCGAGTGTTTAAAACACTCAATGTTTCAAATTATAGAAAAAAAAAAAAAATGTGTACCTTGATAAAGAGTCGACCCCAAAAGCGACAATCAAAGACGCCAGGACCATGCAGCCAAGATAAATTCCGGAAATTAAATGAATTCGTTCGGGAGCCGGCGGAGCTAAGTTTGGATTTTCTTCAACTATTTGGCAGAAATTAGCTCCGCATATTTCCGAGACTTTTGTGCTGTTTAATTCTACTATTGGCAGGTCTTCCTTTCCATACGACAATACTGGAGAAAATTACTATTGGTATTTATTATAAAAAAGTTTAAGATAAAAATGAAAAATAAAAACCTGCGGAAGATATTAAATTTCCCCAAACTTGTGCCATTTGATAAAACATAAAAAATAACCCGAAAAATCGGGTTACAAGAACATCAGCCCCTAGCTCAGATACTGTTGCATAAGCCTCAGCAACCACTGTTAAATATGTGCATTTAGCGCACCACAATGGCCCGCCACCTAAACCAACAGCTAGACCAGCTGGAATCATTGTCATGAACTTCGGGTAAAATTGTGCCGCTATAAACGGAATATATGCGATAAATGACAATGAAATCGTCCATTTACATCCTAACCAACTGCAAAGTACAACATTATTACCACTAAATATTTATTATTTATCATTATCATTATTTAATATTAATATTAATTAAATAGAATAGTTTAGTGTGTTTTAGAAATTAAGCTTTAAAATAAATTTTTATAATTAATTTTTACAAAAAACATATTTTTTAATTTTTTCGTATTTTTATCATTCATTTATTAACTTCCGGTGAATAAATTTCATCAAATAGCTTGATAAGTCCATAAATAATTTTTTATAAATATTAGTCCCAAAGAATCCCGACAGGTGGCGCATGGTCGTTAAATTTTCTCGCTATTAGAGAGTTAATTTTTTAAATATAAGTAAAGAACTAATAATTTTTTTTTTACTACTTTAAAGAGCCTGTTCATTCTAATTTAGTCCTAATTTATTATTAAAAGTTTATAATTTACTAATTTGTAAAGAAAATTTTAAATCAATAAGAAAATCGATAACTCTCCTAGTAACTTTTCAGCCGTACTAACTTTTGTATCCGGGTCAAATGTTGTTTTAATAGTTTTAACAACAAATTCATTTTATCTTTGTTATTAACTAACATATTTATTATTATAGTTTTAAGAACAAATTTTGTTTATCTTCGTTATTAATTAACACCTTAGTTTATCAAGATCGTGTTGTCAGCATGCTAAATCCTTTATTTGTCCTTTTTAATTAGTTTTTTTTAATTATCCTAAATAATTTATAGTTAAATATAGAAACAATAATGTTTCTAAGGTTGAAATAATATAAAAGTCTTTTTAATAAACAACTTGATGTAGACATTTAGTACTTGTCCCACTAGTCACAAATGCCTGTCCCACCAGTCACAATAAAAACAAATTTTTTTAATTGTTTCTACGTAGGTAATCAGTCTAATTGTTCATAATATTGAATATTTGTAGGATAAATTTAGTATTTTCGAAGGAAGTATTTTTTTTTAGTTTAGTGGTAGAACTGACAATTGGACTTTAAGTGTACCTTTGGTAAGAGAGAAGGATTTGTTGTTAGTCCCGCCAGTCACACTCAGTCAAATGATAATTACGAGAAACTTAAAAAGTAATAGACGGTTTTTGACAAAGGGATCTTAATTAGTTATTCTTCTGTATAAGATAAATTTTACTAATATAAATTTTAGTCACATAATCAGTTATAATTGATGGAATTCTAAGGTCAACTGTCTCACCAGTCACTAAGAAATGCCCTAATAGTTAAAATAGAAACTTAAATTTACATTGCATACCTTATCATAAGTACAGGTAGGAAAATATTACTGAATATAAGGCTGCCGTAGATAGAAGCGAGCGTAAATGTCCCTAATGAATCATCAGCGTTTATCGAGCTCTGGAGATTGCTGGCGCCCATGAACGCTGTGAAGTGAATCATGAATGCAATACCGATCATAAGGATGTTTTTTAATATTCTCCATCGCTCTTTTGAATTGAAATTGTTCCTCGAGGCACCTGTCGCTACTATGTTCGCCATTGTACTTCGGCAATTAACTTTTCACCTCCTGGAAAGATGCTTAAAGAATCTCTGGAATATTTATAAATATACAAACCATTTGCCGGGGGGTAATTAAATGCAAATATTAAGAATTTTATCCGCTGGAGCTTTAATTAAAAATAATAATTAGCTGGTTTAATTTGCGGGAAATTAGGTCACTTCATTTTGATATCCGGGATTTGTAATTTAACTTCTAGTTAATTATTGTGGAATTTATTATTGCTATTTTACAAATGAAAAATTTTCCGATCGTTTTATTTTTTGCAATAATAAAAAAATTAATATGAAATTTGATTGACTTTCTATTAATTACACCTGGATAGTATTTCAATTTAAATTTCAATATTTGATTTGACGGCATTCGAAAATTATTTCTAGATACATAATTGAAAAATGACCTAATATCTTGAGAACTATTGACATTTTTAAAGATATAAGCTCATCCTGATGTTACACTCATCGAGAGCTTTCATTTGAGTACCCACATCAATTTTTCATATATTTATATATTTTATATATATCTATATATATGAAAAATATATCAAAAATTCATGTGGGTACTCAAATGAAAGCTCTTGATGAGTGTAACATCAGGATGAGCTTATATCTTGAAAAGTGTCAATGTTTAAGAAAGTACAGTGCAATTTAACAAAAGTCATTATTTAATATTGAAAAACCGCGTAATTAAAGAAAAAAGTCTAAATAAAGATATTTCTTGAATTTTATTGTTCTGATTTCAATAAGGATTACATTCTGACTAATAAAATAACAATAATTACAACATTTCAGTACATTCTACTGTACACTGTTTTGATTAAAGCAATCTTACAATTGAATAGCAAATTTAATTACCGTATTAATTAAGTAGATTCAACCTCATATCAATGCGCTTATCAAAGACGAACCGCATATAGAGAGAATTATTCGTAAACGACACATAAATCCCTCAAAGAGAAACTTTAAAACTTGTATAAAAAGTCTAAAGTTGTTCAATTAGCATCAATCCCGAACGTCATTTTAATTAAAAATATTATATCATATATATTTTTCATAGAAAATTTTTTTATTGTCAAACAGCTTTAAGCTTGAGTTATAAGTACTTAATGTTCTCAAGCTCAAACAGTTTTTTAAAAAATAACTAACTAGTAAAGTTTGTATGGCATGTAAAATTTTTGTATTTTCTTTAATACAGCCATTAAATTTTTTACTGCAATGTTTTGTTCCATCAATTAATGTTATAAGTTCATCAGATTGATCAAGAATTAATTCAGCAATGATTATTATTATTATATTCACTTAAAGAAGGGATTTAAATATTAATAATCCAAGAGAATACTTGGAGCTACAGTTACATTGAAATGCTGGGTTTTAGTGTCAAACTATCTTCAATAAATATAAAGTGTTGAATATAAAAGGGTCAAGTGTAATGAGATACTTCCTGGACAGTTTTATATCATGATACTTTAATGGATTCAAATGTACTTTTTTTTAAGTTATAAATATTCAAACTTTTAAATTATTAAAATTTTACTTTATTAAATAGTGATCTTTGTTAAATTGCAATGTTCTTAAATATTGACATTTTTAAAGATGTAAACTCATCATGATGTTACACTCATCAAGAGCTTTCATTTGAGTACCCACATCAATTTTT